TGCCAGATATTAATTTTTAGTAATTAACATTTAAAGTTTCTTTGTTTTTAGGAACAAGAATACAGTTGTGTAGTAAAGATGCCTCTGGTGAATTTGCACGTATATGCCGAGATCTCAGTCATATTGGAGACGCTGTTGTAATTTCCTGTGCAAAAGATGGAGTGAAATTTTCTGCAAGTGGAGAACTTGGAATGGAAACATTAAATTGTCACAGACAAGTAACGTTGATAAAGAGAGGAAGCGTAAGTAGGTTTTAAATAAATAGAAAATATTTGAAGAGAACTGTAATACTGCTTGACAATTAGGTTCATTATTAAAATTAAATAGGCCGGCCGCGGTGGCTCACGCTGTAATCCTAGCTCTCTGGGAGGCTGAAGGCGGCGGATCGCTCAAGGCAGGAGTTCGAAACTAGCCTGAACAAGAGCAGGACCCCGTCTCTACTATAAATAGAAGAAAATAATTGGCCAACTAATATATATAGAAAAATTAGCGGCATGGTGGTGCATGCCTGTAGTCCCAGCTACTCGGGAGGCTGAGGCAGGAGATTGCTGAGCCCAGGAGTTTAGGTTGCTGTGAGCTAGGCTGACGCCAGCGCACTCACTCTAGCCTGGGCAACAAAGCAGACTCTGTCTCAAAAAAACAAAAAAATTAAATAAAAATGGCAAATTATATCCCATGTAATGTGTGAAAACTAAAGATACCATTGAAATTTGCAAGTGATAAGTGTCATCCAATTTAGAAGTGTATCTGTGAGAAGGAATACAAATTTAGCTGGGTTTGTAGATCAAGCCCAGACATCCCTAAGGATAGGATAGGAAGGTAGGCATCTAACTTTAGCTTTCTGGAGATAATTTACTGTGCCTCACCAAATAACTGAGCATTGACAGCAATTCAATTGAGATATGTTAGGGATAAACTCTAGCTGTTATTAGCTCTAATGTAATCCTTATATTAGCTTTTTGTGTTGTGGTTCCATTATTGGCCCATTGGAGGAGAAGCAGCTGAACAGAGTTAAGTGGCAATTTAACCAAAGTCACAGGCTGTAGGAATCAAAGTTGAACCGAAAGTAGACTACATGTAACTTGGAAAGAATTGCACTATGTTCAATATTGACTAGCATTTACCTAAGGTTTTTCCATTATTTGAAAGGGTGCCTAGAGAGCCCTCCTTTAACAAAATGATGAACTGTAATTCCTTTTTTTTTTTTTTTTTGAGACAGAGTCTCGCTTTGTTGCCCAGGCTAGAGTGAGTGCCGTGGCGTCCTAGCTCACAGCAACCTAAACTCTGGGCTCAGTGATCCTTCTGCCTCAGCCTCCCGGTAGCTGGGACTACAGGCATGCGCCACCATGCCCGGCTAATTTTTTATATATATTCAGTTGGCCATTAATTTCTTTCTATTTATAGTAGAGACGGGTCTCGCTCTTGCTCAGGCTGGTTTTGAACTCCTGACCTTGAGCAATCGCCCGCCTCGCCTCCCAGAGCTAGGATTACAGGCGTGAGCCACAGCGCCCGGCCTGTAATTCCTAATATTTTAAGTGAGGGTTTTCTGAAGTCAATGCTTTTTTAATATTCTTAGTATTTATACACTGATATATGATAGTTATAGTCAAATGAAAAACTTTGCTCACTAGCCTGAGCACCAATTACACTTGTAAATCAAGGATGATTAAAAGTCCTAACCTTATAGGATTATTAGGATTAAATAGTATCTGGCATATTATAAGCTTACAATAAATATTAGATATTATTTTCTTATCCTTTGCATAAGTCAACTCTCAGTTTAAATGAAGGTAAAACTCAGTTTACATAGAGATTTTTCTAAAAAAAAAAAAAAAACCATTAATAACAAAGCCCAGGGACTGATTGTTTAACTCCTGAATCACATTTCCACTACCCTGCTAGCCTCGGTTTTTTTCAAATCTCATTATTTTATCCAAAAATATTTTAATAAAGTGCATACATTGAAATTAGTTTATATGCCCCTTAACTTTCTTTCAATCTACTGGTTCCCTCTTTTCCCCCGGTGCCACTGCAATCTATTTGTTGAAGAAACTAGATCCAGGCCTGGATTTTGCTCAGTGTATCCCTGTGTGTCAACACATTCCTGTATACTTCCTGTAAACTGGTAGCCACAGCTCCAGAGGGTCAGTGACATTCAGGGTGTTTGTTTTGGGGTGAGAGCAAGAATACTTTAGAGGTGGTAGTGTTTACCTCTAGTAGGAGGCTCAAGGTATCTGGGTGTTTTTTGCAATATTAGCCATCATAGTCATTGTCTAGCTCCATTAAGTCATTAGCATTTACAGAGTTGAAATATAATATACTTTGTTCCTTCATTTATTAGTTGATTTATTAGAAATATTTGTCTAAAGAGAAGCTGTCCCATATTGCATAATTTGATTACCTCAGGTATAATTTATATAGAAAAGGCTAAATATAAATACATAGTTCTTTTGCTTTATTTATAGTCTTCAAAATTAGTTTTGTAGCACCCTCCAAAATGACCAATAAAGGTTTTTGGTTTTTAGTATATATTATGAACTAATGGATTGTAACTTTTTTTTTTTGAGATAGTCTTGTTCTGTCACCCTGGGTAGAGTGCAGTGGCGTCATTGTAGCTCACTGCAACCCCAGATTCCTGGGTCAAGCGATCTTCTTGCCATAGTCTCCTGAGTAGCTAGGACTACAGTACCTCTCCACTAGGCTAACTTTTCTATTTTCAGTAGAGACAGGGTCTTGCTCTTGCTCAGGTTGGTCTGGAACTCAAGCTCAGGGATCCTTCCACTTTGGCCTCCCAGAGTGGTATAATTACAGGCCTGAGCCACTGAGCCCAGCCTAGATTGTAACTTTCCTCATGTTTTTTCAGTGTGATGAATCTTTGCTTTCTCCTGTAGGTTACCATAGAGATGAATGAGCCAGTTCAGCTAACTTTTGCACTGAGGTATCTGAACTTCTTCACAAAAGCCACGCCACTGTCTTCTACAGTAACACTCAGTATGTCTGCAGATGTACCCCTTGGTAAGATAATAAATTCAAACATTGTTTCATAGGTAGTATATGTGATACTCCTCAGTAATCACCTATCTTCCTGTTTTCTTTCAGTTGTAGAGTATAAAATTGCTGATATGGGACATTTGAAATACTACTTGGCTCCCAAAATTGAAGATGAAGAAGGATCTTAGGCATTCTCAAAGTCAAAGAAAATAAAATTAAGCTATTCGAGAACTGCTTCTGAGATTCCAGCATAAACTGAAGTCTTTCGTGTCACAAAATATTGAGTACATATGTAGATATTTTCTGTAAATAACCTACTTTTTCCCCTCCATTCTCTACAATTTTAAAGTCCAAAGTCAAATCTGGTCTTGTTAACCCAGAAATATTTTGTCTTACTTAGAAATACTCCTTATGGTTTTTATAATACAAAGAGTCTTCATTCTAAATGCAGTTTTAAGAATTGTTTTTCAATTTAAATAAAATTACCTGAATTTCAAATATATCGCAGGGCAGTGCCTTCATTTGAACCATGACTTTTGCAAATATCCTACTGCATTCTCAGCTATAGCTACCCTTTCACATCAATGTGTATTTCAAATGCCAGATATTTTGAGGGATTCATTTATCAAACTTATTTTGTTATTCTAATTTGAGTTCAAGTAATGAACAGGGAGAGTAGAGCAAATCCTGAGTATTTCATCATTTTGTCATTTTAGTTAGCAGACTAACACTTTTCAGAAGCTTACTGTACCCAGAATTGTGTAGGCTTCATAAGACTAGCATTGTCATAGGGCAGTGTTTCTTTTTAGCGTAGTTAGTATTTTACAAGAGTTTTGAAGTTTCAGTAGATGTGTGAATAGGGCTCAAGGAGTATGGTTGTGCAGAAATTTCTTATTACGAGTACTCTTTTTGGGACTTCACTCCCTTAAAGGATGAAGGTGTCTCAAATTCCATGGATGTTGGATCAAACCAAGAAAGTGAAAAGGCCCTGTAGTTGTGAAGAAAACATTCCCAGGAACTGCTACAAAGTCACTGGCATGTTAAATATTGAGAATTACTCTATCAGAATTTTTTTTCCAGATCCCCATATTGCTTATAATTTTTTCCCAGTGTATTTTGTTTGGTAGATAAAGTGACTGGTCTCTTTGTTGTTTTACTTGGATAGTTCTAGTTATTGTGGATATTAGAACTGACTGTATCCAGAAAGTATTCATTACCTACCACATACCTGCAAGTGGGGAAGGAGAATGGCTGTAAAGGGACCAGATGGAAGTTTTTGAGGTGATGGGAATATTTTATCTAGCTAGGTGACAGTTCTTCTAGTACTGCATGCGTTCTTCAGAGCATCCAGTTGCGTTTTACTGTATGTAAATTATACCTTAATAAACCAAACTTAAAAAAGCTTTGGCCAGGTACAGCAGGAGGCCGAGCTGGGAGCCTGGCTCAAGGTCAGGAGTTTGAAACCAGCCTGAGCAAGAGCGAGACCCGTCTCCACTAAAAATAGAAATTAATTGGCCAACTAAGAATATATAGAAAAAAATTAGCTGGGCATGGTGGCGCATGCCTGTAGTCCCAGCTACTCAGGAGGCTGAGGCAGGAGGATCGCTTGAGCCCAGGAGTTTGAGGTTGCTGTGAGCTAGGCTGACGCCATGGCACTCTAGCCTGGGCAACAGAGTGAGACTGTCTCAAAAAAAAAAAAGCTTCACTTGCAGCAAAATGTCCCTGTGGGCAGGCCTCTCTTACTTGGGCAAGGCCTAATGACCAGGAAAAGGAAACAAGCACAAGAATGGGGGGCTACTCAAGGGATGTGGCGACAGGGCTGAGATGTGGCCCTGACCAGCTCCAGTTCGGCGTACACCACTGCGATCCCTACCACGCCACAACGCAGCGGGCTTGCCCTGGGCCTGACTGTGACTCAGGTGGGCGGGGACCCTAAAATGTCCGCCCGCCAGCCGCAGCGGAAGAAGGTGGTGGCGGGCACGGGTCGGGGCGCCTTTTGAAACCGCGGCGCTAGAACAGGGCGGCCCCAGAGCCCCGACGCCCCCTGCAGGTTCCATTCGCCGACACGCGCAAAGCGCTACCCCAGACGCATCCAGGAAGTGAGTGAGAAGACGACGCTTTGAGTGACGCAACTTCCGGCGCGCCGCTTCCGGCGGCCTAGTCGGTGCTTGGGCGGACTGTGTGGCAGTTAGGTGGGCCGTGCCAATGCAGCCTCGGGCTCCTCCGCTACCAACCGTGGGCGAGTTCTCGGCGCGCGGGGCACTGGCGTGGCGCTCTGGTAAGGCGTGCTTGCGGCGGGGCGCGAGCGGAAACGCCCTCTTCGGGCTCGGCGTGGCGGGGTCTGCGCTCCCCGCCGAAATCAAGCCGAGTCCTCGGCGTGGAGCGTTCGCCCGTCCAGGCACGGTTGGCTCCAGAAATCAGTTTTGTTTATTGTACGTGCACATTCGCCTTGGTTCTTATTTCTCTCCCTGGCGAGGTCTGGAGACGGGCAGGAAAATAGCGTTATGGTGGGACGTGTAATGCCAGGCACTGTGCCAAGCGCTTTACTGATGCTTTTATAATTCTTGCAACATTCACTTGCGGGGGGAATTTGGGGGTTGCAATGAGCTGGTAAAAAGCCTGTTGGGAAGTTGGACTGATACTTTGAAAATACTCCATCGACTTACGTTTTTCCTTTCTCCTCTTTTAGAATCCTTACTGTTTGCCAAGAATAAGCATTCCTTTCTCCTCTCCTTCATGCCCTGTGATTTTTTTAAGTTTTGATGTGGGTATCAATAGTTAAGCAGAATATGTATGTAATTTTTAATAGTGATAAAAATCAAATGTGATTAATTGCCATCAAAGCCCCTCATATTGGTAGTTTGAACTTTTAAGTTTTGTAATATTAAATGTAATCTAGATGTCAACACTAAACACCTAGTGTTTGCCACGCAAGAGGGTTAGTTTGATCTAACCCTTTTAGAAAAGTACATAGATGAGCATTATTGTAATTATTTATTTATTTATGTATTTGTGAATGAGACAGAGTCTTGCTGTGTTGGCTGGGCTAGAGTGTTGTGGCATCAGCTTAGCTTACAGCAACCTCAAACTCTTTGGCTCAAGCAATCCTCCTGCCTCAGCCTCCCAAGTAGCTGGGACTGCAAGTGTGCACCACCATCCATGGCTAATTTTTTCTATTCTTAGTTGTCTAGCTAATATCATTCTATTTTTAGTATGGACAGGGTCTTACTCTTGCTCAGGCTGGTCTTGAACTCCTGACCTAAAGCAATCCTCCTGCCTCAGCTTCCCAGAGTGCTAGTATTACAGGCATGAGCCACCGCACCTGGCCATAACTTCTTAAAAGTACATGAACATGTAGCTTCATTTCTTTCATAATGCTAGTTATTTTACATTGACTACAAGCCACTTAAAACAGCTTGTTAATTTTCAGAATTAAATATGTATAAAGCACTTAGAACAGTGCCTGGCACCTAACCAAGACTAGGTAAGTACTAACTGCCCTTATTGTGATGATGATAATGATTATGATTTATAAAATGTCACACTGGAGAAATGTAAATCTATGGGTTCTTTTCATTTTTTTTTATTTCAGCATATTATGGGGGTACAAATGTTTAAGGTTACGTATATTGCCCTCCCCCCCCCTCAAGTTATGGGTTCTTTTTTTAATGTTGCTCTTATTGAAATACTTTTCTCTTTTGTTTTTGCATTTAAATGGCCTTGGCCAGGCCTGGTGGCTCACGCCTGCAATCCTAGCACTCTGGGAGGCTGAGGCAGGAGGATCGTTTGAGCTCAGGAGTTGGAGACCAGCCTGAGCAAGAGCAAGACCCCTGTCTTTACTATAAATAGAAAGAAATTAATTGGCCAACTAATATATATAGAAAAAAATAGCCGGGTATGGTGGCACATGCCTGTAGTCCCAGCTACTTGGGAGGCTGAGGCAGGAGGATTGCTTGAGCCCAGGAGTTTGAGGTTGCTGTGAGCTAAGCTGATGCCACACCACTCTAGCCCAGGCAACACAGCAAGACTCTGTCTCAAAAAATAAATAAATAAATAAATAAATGGCCTTGCCATCAGAATAGATTTACATGTTTTGTTCTTATAACTTTGTTACTTTATGGAGGAAAAGTGTACAAATATAAGTTTGTTTGGTTTGTTTTCTGACACAGAGTCTCGCACTGTTGCCCGGGCTAGAGTCCATGGTGAAATGATAGCTCACTACAGCATCAAACGCCTGGACTCAAGCGATCCTTCCACCTCACCCTCCTGAGTAGCTGGAACTACAGACGAGAATCACCACACTCAGCTAGTTTTTCTATTTTTGTAGAGACAAGGTCTCCATATATTGAGCAGGCTGGTCTCAAACTTCTTAAGTGATACTCCTGCCTTGGCCTCCCAAAGTTCTAGGATTATAGGCATGAGCCACCATGGCTGGCTTAAATTTTTTAAGTTTAAATGTCTTGTTTTTAAATCTTATATACTATCTCTTAAGCTAGTGACAAAATAGCCATGATTTCATCACTGTTGTCTGCTTTGAATATTTGATCAGTAAACCAGAATCTTACTCACTTTTTTGAGAAGTAATTGGAAAATGAAATCACTACTTTCAGTGCTTGGAATGGGGCAGGGAGACATGCATTTCTGAAGGCAGTGGTATAGTACTGATAGCCAGGTGCTTAGCCAAATTTACAAGAAGCTTCATAGATCTTTTGCATTAAAAGGATGATCTCTATCATGGGGAAATAGGCAGAGCACTGATGTGAGTGTATTCCCTTCCCTGCCCTCTCCCTCCTCCTTAGCAAATAAGAGAGTCAGTTGAGTATATGCTGCTCTATCTTTTTCCTACTCAATTCTGTGGTGTCAGGTGGACCTGGATTTAAGTCACCCTTTTCCACATAATCTCTGTATTATTTTGGAAAAATTAAGAGGCAAGGAACCTTGGTGGCAAGATAAAGTGGGATCTGGTTCTTAGTGTCTTGGCTGTGATTATACAAGGACTAACCAAAGTAAATACCTAATAAGAATGTTTTTACTGTGTCAGAGGAATATCTGGATTTAAAAGCAGTGAAGCCTAAATTGCCAGTTGCAAGTATGACATGACAGCCGAGAACTCCCATGCATAATATCTGAGAGTCCTGAACTCATTGGCTTTAATGTACCATAGTCATCTACAGACAATAACAAGGTTTTTTTGTTTGCAGACTATAGTTGTGTCAGTGTGTTATGATGCCTTCCCGTACCAACCTGGCTACTGGAATCCCAAGTAGTAAAGTGAAATATTCAAGGCTTTCCAGCACAGACGATGGCTACATTGACCTTCAGGTAAATGCAGAAGGGAACTGATAAGATGGACTGCATATGTTTCTGTTGTTAGCAGGAAAACCTTCCCAGTGGAGGTTTTGCTAACTGTCCCTGGGGATTAGAGGGAGTAGCAAGAAGTAAACTCAGCTCTGCAACCCTTTCAGCCATAGCTTACAGAAGAGGACCTTGGCAGGGCACTTTCAAACCAATTCTAATATTGTCCATTTCTAAGAATTTTTTAGTTATAGTGCCAGAGCCCTGTAATTCCATTTAGTTTATCCAGAAAATAATCAGATTGTGTTTTGTTAAGTGGAGTTTTTTTAAGGAATTTTAAAATTTTTTGCTAAGCAGAATTTTTTGTCACCGGTTTATTTACACTTTAGTCAAAGCCAGTTCATCTTTTAAGGGAGAAACTTACTGCTGAAGCCAGCAGATTGTGGGAATCTTCCTTCTTTCCTGATGTCATGAGATCCAATTTATTAAAGGTATTCTTTGTGACAAACAGTAAGTAAAACAGAATATTAAATTTGTTCCTACCCTGACCATTTACAAAATAGTAGTACAGCATCTCTTTTTGCCTATTTCCCCTTGGAATAGAATATTCTAGGTTGGTCTAGGGCCGAAGAGGAAGTAGCAGGACCTCATCCCTTTAAATATAAATAAATACAACACTCTGGGAGGCTGAGGCAGGTGGATCGCTCAAGGTCAGGAGTTCGAAACCAGACTGAGCAAGAGTGAGACCCCGTCTCTACTAAAAATAGAAAGAAATTAATTGGACAACCAAACATATATATAGAAAAAATTAGCCAGGCATGGTGGCACATGCCTGTAGTCCCAGCTACTCGGGAGGCTGAGACAGAAGTATTGCTTGAGCCCAGGAGTTTGAGGTTGCTGTGAGCTAGGCTGACGCCACGGCACTCACTCTAGCCTGGGCAACACAGCGAGACTCTGTCTCAAAAAAAAAAAAAGAAAAAAAAAAATAGATCTGGGAAACTTTCAGCCAGTTAGAACGGATACAGCCGTGAGCCAAACCTTAGAAGGTTTGTCTCTGAATCTTAACCTTGAGTTGAACTTATTCATAAGGTAAACAACTAATGCTTTAGAAAAAACTAAAATTGTCTGTTTCTAGAACCTTTAACCATATACTAACTTAACTTTGATTCCAGAAATTACTTATTTTCTTCTCCATATCATGGTATTCATTCTTTTTTTTTTTTTTGAGACAGAGTCTCACTCTATTGCCCAGGCTAGAGTGCCATGGTGTCAGCCTAGCTCACAGCAACCTTAAACTCCTGGGCTCAAGTGATCCTTCTGCCTCAGCCTCCCGAGTAGCTAGGACTACAGGCATGTGCCACTATGCCCAGCTAATTTTTTCAATATATTTTTAGTTGGCCAATTATTTCTTTCTATTTTAGTACAGGATCTCGCTCTTGCTCAGGCTGGTTTCTGAACTCCTGACCTTGAGCGATTCTCCCGCCTCGGCCTCCCAGAGTGCTAGGATTACAGGATGAGCCACTCAACAGCCGGTATTCATTCTTCAATCCCGTAATTAACAGCCATCTGTGTGCCAGGCACTTAATAATATGTCCAATGAGTGAATGACCATCAAGTAATTTCTGGTTTTGTAAAAAAAAAAAAAACTTTCTTATGAACATGGTATAAGAATAGAACTAGAAAGGATGACATTCCTCTAGGACTCTTTTGAGTGACTGTTAGAGCAGTAACTAGAGCATGGTGTCCTGCCTGTCTCTTTCCTTTCTTTCCCAGAGCTGCACTGGGTGGTAGGACATATTTCAAGACCCAGAAATCATCCAATTTAATTATCCTCCCTGTTTTAAAGTATCTGGGCTGTTGTATTTTCATAATGTCCTTTCTTGTCTTTTTTTGTTTCTCTTCCAGTTTAAGAAAAGCCCTCCTAAGATTCCTTATAAGGCCATTGCACTTGCCACCGTGGTTTTTGATTGGCGCCTTTCTCATTATCATAGGCTCTCTCCTGTTGTCGGGCTACATCAGCAAAGGGGT